AACAAAGAAACAGGACATTACAATGAACGTCATCCAATGTTATGCACCTACCAATGACTACAATGACGACGTTAAAGATCAATTCTACGAAAGGCTGCAGTCAATCGTCGAGAAATGTTCACCAAAGGATTTGACGATTCTTATGGGAGACCTGAATGCCAAGGTTGGAATGGACAACACTGGATATGAAGACATCATGGGACGACATGGACTGGGAGAAAGGAACGAAAACGGTGAGAGATTTGCAAACCTATGTGCCTTCAACAAACTGGTCATCGGTGGCACAATATTCCCGCACAAACGCATTCACAAAGCCACATGGATTTCACCGGACCACACTACTCAAAACCAAATTGACCATATCTGTATCAACAAAAAGTTCAGAAGGACCATGGAGGATGTGAGAACCAAGAGAGGAGCTGATATAGCTTCAGATCACCACTTGCTGATCGCCAAAATGAGATTGAAGCTAAAGAAGCACTGGACAGCGATGAGGACAACATCACAGAAGTTTAATACGGCCTTTCTTCGGGATACCGTAAAACTCAACGAATTCAGGATAGCCCTCACCAATAGGTTCCAGGCCTTTCAGGATCTACTCAATGGAGAGGAAGCAACATTGGAGAACAATTGGAAAGGGATTAAGGAGGCAATCACTTCAACATGTCAGGAGGTCCTTGGTCGCAAGAAGCACCATCACAAGGAATGGATCTCTGTTGGTACTCTTGAAAAAATTGAAGAAAGGAGGAACAAGAAGGCAGCTATCAATGTCTGCCGAACAAGAGCAGAGAAAGTTAAGGCGCAAGCCGAGTATACAGAAGCAAACAGGGAAGTGAAGAAGAGCATCAGAGCTGACAAACGAAAATATGTGGATTATCTAGCAATGACGGCGGAAAAGGCTGCAAGAGAAGGAGACTTGAGACAATTGTACGAAACTACAAAGAAGCTCGCCGGAAACTATCGTAAACCAGAACGACCAGTGAAAAGCAAGGAAGGGAAAATAATCAGCAACACTGACGAACAGCGAAATAGGTGGGTGGAGCACTTTAAGGAACTATTGAATCGACCAGCTCCACTGAACCCACCCAACATCGAAGCAGCATCCACGGACCTCCCAATTAATATTGGCGCACCTACGATTGAGGAGATCAGTATAGCCATCAGACAAATTAAGAGCGGCAAAGCAGCAGGACCAGACAACATTCCAGCAGAGGCAATGAAAGCAGATGTGGAAGCAACTGCGAAAATATTTCACATTCTCTTCAAGAAGATTTGGGATGAGGAACAAGTACCATCAGATTGGAAAGAAGGATACCTCATCAAAATACCAAAGAAAGGCGATCTCAGCAAGTGTGAGAACTACAGAGGCATTACTCTTCTTTCAATACCAGGCAAAGTCTTCAACAGAGTATTGTTAAACAGAATAAAGGACCTCGTAGACGCCCAACTTCGAGATCAACAGGCTGGATTTCGTAAGGATCGATCGTGTACTGACCAAATTGCTACATTACGGATCATTGTGGAACAATCAATTGAATGGAACTCACCACTCTACATCAACTTCATCGACTACGAGAAAGCATTCGATAGCGTGGATAGGAAAACACTGTGGAGGCTTCTTCGACACTACGGTGTGCCTGAGAAAATAGTCAACATCATACGGAATTTTTATGATGGATTCAACTGCAAAATCGTGCACGGAGGACAGTTAACAGACTCTTTTGAGGTGAAGACCGGTGTGAGGCAAGGTTGATGACTCTCACCCTTTCTCTTTCTCCTGGTCATCGACTGGATTATGAAGACGTCGACATCTGGAGGGAAACACTGTATCAACTGGACAGTTAGGACGCAGCTTTGCAGGTGACCTGGCTCTTCTATCGCACACTCAACAACAAATGCAAGAGAAGACGACCAGTGTAGCAGCAGCCTCTGCAGCAGTAGGTCTCAACATACATAAAGGAAAAAGCAAAATTCTCCGATGCAACACAACATGCACCAACCGAATCACGCTTGATGGAGATACCTTGGAGGACGTTAACACCTTCACATATCTTGGCAGCATCATCGACGAGAAAGGTGGATCGGACGCAGATGTGAGGGCGCGGATTGGCAAAGCAAGGGCTGCATTTCTACAGTTGAAAAATATCTGGAACTCCAAACAACTTTCAAACAAAACCAAAGTCAGGATTTTCAATACAAATGTCAAGACAGTTCTACTGTATGGAGCGGAAACCTGGAGAACTACCAAAGCCATCATCCAGAAGATACAAGTGTTTATTAACAGTTGTCTACGCAAAATACTTCGGATTCGTTGGCCAGACACCATCAGCAACAACGAACTGTGGGAGAGAACAAGTCAGATTCCAATGGAGGAGGAAATCAGGAAGAAGCGGTGGAAATGGATAGGACATACACTACGAAAAGCACCCAACTGCGTCACTAGACAAGCCCTCACATGGAACCCTCAAGGCAAAAGGAAAAGAGGAAGGCCAAGGAACACACTACGCCGAGAAATAGAGAAAGATATGAGAGGAATGAACAAACATTGGACAGAACTGGAGAGGGAAGCCCAGGACAGAGTTGGTTGGAGAAAACTGGTTGGCGGCCTATGCTCCATTGGGGGTAACAGGCGAAAGTAAAGTAAAAGTAAGACAAAATATGACTTTGTTCCCTACGCATCACTCAAGTGTATATAAGGTCACTTTAAGTGTTATGTTCGTCATTAGGTACGTTTGAAGCTATTTTGAGTTCACCTTAGTCGATAAACGCGAACGAGACAATGAACCAGTGTCCAGGTAGGCTATCTTGAATCCCAAACTGTGAAACAGAAGTCTTGATAAGCGTAGAAAGTATATTCTACAAACACCCAGCAAGCACAATACAGTCAAGCACACAACTCTCGTTTATTTATACATCATAGAAACGTCCTTCGGACAGTTACGATAATAGCACACTAAAATACTCAGCAGCCAATCACACAGCCAAGGATTTTCCTGGTAGGAAATGAAATCTCAAGGTCAACTGATCAGCCCATGCTCGCAAATGTGGAATCCAAAATAAGAAATTTATCAAGCGAGTTCTGAGGATCTAACATCCCTAACCATAAGGTCACTAGAAGCTCGAATAATTGTGTGATGACGTCGTCAACTAGGTGAAACTAGGTGAAAGAGCGCGTCGGTTGTGTGCAAGATTAAATGTTCACCTTGATCAAAAGTATTAGGGAGCACAAAACCTACATCCAAGTTTCGGTGTTGGTTCCGTTTAACAATCAACGAAACTTTAGGATTGGCACGGGCAATAATCCTAGAACAGCTTCAGTCTGAGTAAGGTATTTAGATACAATACGGCATGAACCAACCAAATCACACTTATGAAAGAAGCTCTGGACGATGTTAAAGCTTATATATATCTGACAGCCTCATTGATAAGCAAGATGAGTCCGACGCAGACCTGAAAGCATTGACTAACAAAGCAAGTGAAGCATTACTACGATTGAAGAACATTTCGAACTTAAAACAAATATCAACTAATAACAAAGTCATAGTTTTCAATACAAATGTCAAGACATTTCTGCTGTATGCGGCGGAAACTTAGAGGACCACAAAAGCCATCATCTGCAACATACAAGTGTTTATTAACAGTTGCCTACTCAAGATGCTGCGAATTCGTCGGTCATACTTCATGACTAACAGATGACAATGGGAAAGAAATAAAAACCAGATTGCAACTGAGTAAGTCAATCAGGAAGAAGCACTGGATTTGGATTGGGCATACTGTCCGGACAGAACACTACTATGTCACGAGACAAGTCCTAACATGGAATTCTCAAGTTGTAATGAAAAGAGGAAGAACAAAGGGTGTATTGTGTTGGGAATCGGAGCTGTTGTCTGACCATGCTCCACGAGAGGTAACAGGTGTAAGTAAGTAGAGAGAGAGAGAGATACAACACAGAACTTCGTACGTATGTATGTGGTGCTGTGTTGCGAACTACTTATAAGTAGTATATAGCGTGAGTGTCAACGTATAGTCTGGTAGCATAATATGGGGGGAAGATCAAGAAAGGAAGAGTCAGAAAACAATGGAATTTGTATGAAACGCATGAAGAGTGACAATGGATTGATGTTTGGCAACAGGAACAGTCCAGTTCCATAGTATGAACTGATCTTTTGCAAATGAACGATTTACGATATGGTTTTCCGATTTTACTGACTAACTCTGTAATTTTCGTTAAATACAATTCGGTTGCCCCCACCTGTGTTCTCATTCACTACATGTACATTAGTTCAGGTTGCCATACGGCATAAGCACAGAGACGCAACTGTTAGTTCAAATCCAATAGTGGTAGCGATAGTAGAAGTATTAGCAGTAGTGGAGAAGATTATGGTATAATTCAGAGAGATAAAGTTAGAAAGTGAAAGGTAGAGGTGTTGACCAATGCAGAAGATTAGGATTTCATAGAACACAAAGATTGGATGCACTTGCGCCATTGCAAACGATGTTGAGTAATGTCATTCAAGGTCTCTAACCATAGGTGACTTTTGTCTCGCGGGCCCCCAACCAGGTAGTCTGCATCTACCAACATGACTCAGTTCACTTGTCTGTGATTTCATGGATTTGTGCCATGTTTTGCTTTGGCCACCTCTAGCTTCCTTCCAACCTACTCCTACACCACAAACACTGATGAATGAGTCAGTCGGTGGTCAGGCATAAGTAAGTAGATAAGTAATTAATTGAGTGATACATATCTAATTATAGGTTCACAAATCATTTCTCAGAGTTACCAACCTTTACATGTACAATCCGATATAACAGTACCATGTCTACGTCAGTAATTACTGATCTCATGAGATTATCTTCTAGAAATCGGTATTTTAATTCCTAATCTCAACTAACTAACTGTTAAAGGTGAAAAAAATCTTTTCTAATCTGTTTTCTCCCTATTTCAAATTTAAACCAGTCCTTGCTCTCAACTAATAATTCTTATTTTAATCATTTTTTAGACAGATTAATCTCTGAAACAATAGTACCATCTAATGAACAACCTTGAACTAAAAAAAATTAATCAATCAGTTTTCGTTGTTTTCCTTCAAATACACGAAAAAAAATGTTATCAATCAAATTAAAAACAATGGACAATTGAACATTGAATGGACTTCATGAAAACCCCTGCGTTTTATTTCCCGCGCTCTTTCTCTCTCTCTCTCTCTCTAGCTCTCAACAGATTTTATAAACAAGTCAATCAATCAATTTGACAATGATAATTGTATATTTTTTCATTGTTCTCTACTACAGCTGTGTTTGTTTACATTTTTCGGTTCTATTTTTATTATTATGTATGCTTACAGTGATTTCATTCAACTTTTACTTATTTCCTTGTATGTTACGTTGAATTGTTTCAATATTCAATTGTATACAATTGTTTTAATTATTGGTCCATATAATTTTCTTTGTGTCTAGAAAACTGCCTATCTTGTGTAAATGATTCATTGTATATTATTATTATTACTATTATTATTATGTTATTGAATATGACCATACTACTTATTTCGATGAATAAGTAGTGTTGGAGATTATTGAACACAAAAACTTTTTCGCTGTTTCAATTGAGTTCAAACGAGAAGAGAAAAAGAAATATACTTATTATTATCATCATTATTTTTTATTTATAAATAATCAATAAATTCTCATGATTAAACTGTATTCTATAGAATTTATCATAAATATGAAGAAAAAGACATGAACTCGTTTGAGGTTCAATGATCAATCAATATAACATTGGACATTAAATGTTTCTGTATTAAGTGTTCTTCATTCCATAACAGAAATCATTTATATAAAAAGAAAAATTCAAAATTACATATGTGTTCCTCCGTAAAAATGCACTACTCTTTAAGTGAATGCTTCTCCCCTTTTGAAATGATATTATCATAAATTTTGAAAAGTATACTAAAAACCGCTTCTCTAGAATGAGTTCATTTTTTTGTTTAAAACAACAAATCAAATCATTTATTGATCATTGAACGAATCCTGGAAAAAATTTTAAGCAAAAAACTTTTCACAGAAATGAAAATTATTTATTTATCGTTTTGATTTTGACTTTTATTTGACATACTTTCATCTTTTAGATGTTAAAAAACAATCGGTTTTTTGCAAAAAATTTCATTTTCAGAAATGATGTAACAATTTCATTCCTTAACATGTTGTTCATTGTTAGTTTTTTTGTTTACATTGGATATTGAATGGTTCTGTGAATAAATTTTTTTTCAACAAAAAAAGATCAGCTACTTATAATTGTTAATAAGTAGTAGTCATCCAACTTTTATTTTATCAACAAACTATTTAAACTAAAACACACAGATTATTATTATTATGATTATTTGTGCATTTATTTACAGTCTGATGATTGTTTTGCTTGTTGTATAATATAGATGTGTTGAATTACAGAAATTCATATATTTTTTTTGGTATAAAACGCAATTGCGCACGAATGCTGAACTTCTCTGGATTCATTGATGATTGCCAAGTAACTAATAAGTAGCTTCATGAGGGAATTCTCGGAGTTCTAGTGAGAAGACGTAACTAGCTGGGGTTCAACCATGTCAGTTGTAGGCATTGATTACCGAAGACAATGGATGAGGTAGCGTAAAATCTTTAGATTGATCAAACTTCGTCATTAACACTGTTAGATACCAGCTCAGTGGTCCAGCGTTCTTTCCCACCACAAAAGGTCCTGAGTTTGAAACTTTTGAGTAGCAAGAGTTGTGGACTCGCACTACCACCACCAAGACAAGACGTCTGCTCAGTGCTTCGGGGTTTTTATTAGTGGTCTAACTGTTACGCTCGTCTCTAGGTACGCTTGAAGCTATTACGAGTTCACCTTAGTCGATAAATACGAACGAGACAATGAACCAGCAGAGTCCAGATAGGCTACCTTGAATCCCAAGCTGAAGATAGAAGACTTTGTAAGCGTAGAAAGTATATTCTACAAACGCCCAGCAATCATAATACAATCAAGCATACAACTCTCGTTTATTTATACATCATATAAACGTCCGTGGGACAGTCACAAAAATAGCACACTAAAATACACAGCAGCCAATCACAGTCATGGATTTTCCTGGTGGGAAATAAAATCTCAACATGAAATCCAAAATAAGTCATTTATCAAGCGAGTTCTGGTTATCTAACATCCTCAACACCAACAATGACTGATTCGTGATTTCAATACGAAATAACAATGCCCGTAATTCGTAATTTTAGTCTTGTAACAGAGTTAAGCATAGAATTCGTTTCTAAATAGCTCATCGAACATATTTTTTTCACCCTTTTTAAAAATTGAACATGACATTACAATGCAGGACAATAATAGCATTCTGGGTAGTTCCATTTGGTATTTGTTAGCGAACTTATATGATTTAGTTACTGGGCTCATTTGGTACTAGTTAGAATGGTAGTGTAGTGAACGAGAACACAGGTGGGGCAACCGAATTGTAGTTAACGAAAATTACAGAGTTAATCAGTAAAATCGGAAAACCATATTGTAAATCGTTAGTTAATTTGCAAAATATCAGTTCATCATATCGAACTGGACTGTTCCTGTTGCCAAACATCAATCCATTGTCACTCACTGTTCATGCGTTTCATACAAATTCCATTGTGTTCCCTCCCACTCTTCCTTTCTTGTTGATCTTCTCCCATCTTCTGCTGCCAGACATTACGTTTACACTCGCGTCATATACTACATATAAGTAGCTCGCACCACAGTAGTAGCAATAATTTCCAAATCGTTTTGTAAAAACGATTATTATCTACAATTTCGATATACAGTTAATTAATATCATCAATTCACTAAAGACGCTTTTTAAATCAATCACAAATGACATAAGTAGAGTTCTTTAAGAATATAAGGTTTAGAATGTTATCAGATCTTAAATATTGCGATAAGTTAAGTGACTAGAACTATCATATTTATTGTGTGAGTTAGAATCGATTACATGAAGGCGTTGAGTAGATGATAGTGGTTAGGATACTGTAGTGTATGTACTAATTTATGTTAAACCTACATGGTTTATCTCAGCCATTAGATAAATTAATTAACTCCGTTCTTCTTGAGTTATGTATTATTCTCATGCCTTGTCGCATTGAGTTGGTTTACTCGTCTTTGCCACTTCTGTTCGCTTTTTATCCACATGTCTGTCTGCGTGAACGAACTCATCCAACTGAATCTGTATTTGGATTTTAATTACGGCCAATCGCACCAACTGGGTTCGCCTGAGTATGAGATCTTCATATCCGTGCATGTTAACCTTGGCATTTAGGTCTTCCATCACGATGGAGCATCTGTTAACGATTAACTGCAGCCTTTCTAATAATTGATCTTTAGTTTCTACATGGCAGTCGTTGGTACGCGCATAACATTGGATGGTTCTCATTGTAATGTCCTCTTTCTTTGTTTTGAAGGATCCTGAGTCCATGAGATTCCCATCTTATCAGTACCTTTTGTGCTTGTTTAGACAGCATCACTGCAACTCCTTGTGTATGTGGGGCATTTTCTGTTACGCATGAACGTAAACATGTCGACTTGATATACTTGAATTACTACGAGTTTACCTTAGTAGGTAAACGAGAGCGAGGATCGAATATCTGACGACACGACATGCTGCTCTAATCCTAGTGTCCCAACCTCCCATTGAGTAAAAGAAGAAGACTTGATATGAAGTAGAGCCTGTATTCTACAAACATCCAGAAAGTATGAGGTCCGAGTCCAGGAGAATACAAGGATCCTAGACTGAGGATCCGGGTCCGGGTCATAAAACATTACAGATAATCCGTATTTATACAGTTCGTTCGAATAGGAAAAAACATTGAAGCCTGTGACATTACCAGTTAAGACAACCAATAGGAAACAACATTAGGGGTGACACTGATAGTAAGGACGACCAATAAGAAACATCACTGAAGCACGTGACATTGATATCTAGGATGATCATAAAATTGACCACTAGAAATTAACCTATAAGAATTGACCAATAATTCTCTTAGGATATTGAATGAATATCCTTAGATCTTCCTCTTCATGATCAGAGTATAACAGCAGTTCCCCTGAAGCTAGTCTAAGTTGTCCTACCTGTATCCAATGCGTTTTATGGATCCAAAGCACCTCCAGGTTGTATCATTTCATTTATGCAGCAACATGGAACCATATACCTAAAAGAATGGTTTCTGTAGTTGTCAGATGGGGTGTGGTGCGCACTACTTATAAGTAGTATATGACGCGAGTGTAAACGTAATGTCTGGCATTAGAAAATGGGGGAAGATCAAGAAAGGAGGAGCGGGAACACAATCGAGTTTGTATGAATAAGTGAAATGTCAGACAATGGATTGATGATGGATTGAAGATTTGCAAATTAACTAACGATTTACGATATGGTTTCCCAATTTTACTGAGTAACTCTGTAATTTGAGATAAATACAATTTGGTTGCCCTCGTCTGTGTTCTCCTTCACTACAGGGGCACTGATCTCGTGACTTTCGAAGAAACTCGGCTTTCATCATGAGACGTCATAACTCTTCTGGATGAAGACCTTCTAACTCTCAGGGCAGAATTAAATTGGTTTAAATTACTTTTTTCTGGTTAGCTTTGTTTATTTACTGAGTTACTTTTTTCATTGTATGTGGTCACCAAACCCAAGCCCAACCCTCCTTCTTTACCCAGAAATCGGGGCCAGAAGTAGCCCCAGAGGGGCTCCATGAAGAGTTTCGCCTATTACATGTCTAGCCTATATTTACTTAACTATAAATACTTATTGTCATGCCTCGGTGTATTCAGTTGGTTTATTCACCTTCTCCACTTCATTTCACTTTGCGTTTTCACTTTTTATCCTAATGTCTTTCTGTGTGAACGATCACATTAAAAATAGACTCATCAAACTAAATCTGTATTTGGCTTTTAATTACCGGCATCACAAACAAACGTGATTTGCCTGAGTATGATATACGGAAATTGAAGGAAAGATTTGTTTGACAAAGCCTATATAGACGTTCTTCCAAATCGGAGTCAACAACCTGGTCACTAAATTGGTGAGTCCAATATCGAACATAGTACTTACTTACCAACGCCTGTTCCCCCGAATGGAACATAGGCCGCCCACCAGTTTCTTCCAACCAACTCTGTCCTGGGATTCCCTTTCCAGTTCTTTTCAGCTTTTATTCATTCTTCTCATATTTTTCTCTATTTCTCGGCGTAATGTGTTTCTCGGCCTTCCTCTTTTCCCTTCACCTTGAGGATTCCATTTGAGGGCTTGTCTTGTGACTCAGTCCGGTGCATTCCGCAGTATATGCCCTATCCACTTCCATCGCTTCTTCCTGATTTCCTTCTCCACTGGAATCTGGTTTGTTCTCTCCCACAGTAGGTTGTTGCTGATAATGTCTGGCCAACGAATCCGAAGTATTTTGCAAAAACAACTGTTGACAA